GAGAAAAGTTGAGAAAATTTGCATGGAAACTGACGAACGCGCCACAACAAATTGCGGAAACAATAGAGAACTTCGTTCAGAAAAGAAACGTGCTCCTGAAAAATCAATTTGTAACATTACAGTCAAATAGAAAACTAATTTCCTTTTTATCTTTTCCAAATTTCCACTAATATTTTTCCTTCCTCTCTTTATATTTGGGGAAGGGGAGAGATATTGATTAAATATTTTATCTGAAATTTATGTTAATTAGTCAGTGTTTTTTATCTAATTCTAAAATTTTCAGGTGGCTCTTAGTACTATTTAGTATTATATCTCTTTCTTATTATATACCTAATTAACTATGTATTTAAAAAAATGCAAAATTTCTAAATTCCTTAGAAGATTGTACTAGATAAAATTCCCATAAATTTGAACTATCTACAATTTAAAAAAACCCCTAAATGAAATTTTAAACATGAAGATTCTCAAAGAAAAAATCTAATCAATCTAGAATATCACATAGGTATACTGATAGATTATAATCTTACAATACCTTAACCTTATATAAGGTTTACAATACCTTAACCTTATATAAAGTTTATAATACCATAAACCTTATAACACATATTTACTATATTCAAACTTGGTTCAAATTCAACAAAACTGACGTTTAAATTCAATAGAAGAAATAAATACCAGGATACAGGAATTAAATCTAATAAATGTTGCTACATACTTACAGCATTTAAATGAAACATACAATTGAGAAGGGACAGGTTACGCCAATGAAATATCAGCCAAATTGAATAACAGATAACACCGTATTAAAACGCTATATCCACTCATCAATTCCGCTCTAGTCGGAGTCACGTGGTCTCCCACTCGTAGTCCGAACCAATCGAACCTAACCTGAATCACCGTGTAGTCACATCCGACTACCTAACCTAAAAAAAAGTGTCTGCCATTACTTGTTGCCTGCCTATAAATAATCCCGCGGTGGCGAAATTACTCAGTACCGACGGTTCCTTGCCGCCTTGTCCCCGGTCACATCGGTTTTCCCGCACAGTCGAAATTAAATTTCCAGATTCATTAGCCCCTGTGGCGCGTCTCGTGACGCACGAGACGGTTCCCTTTTTCTCTATGCGTCTCGCTCTCGCCGCACTCGCCATCTTCCTCCCACCACGATATAAATACATATGAGAACTGGGTCGCTGCCCTGAACCCCAGCCACTGCATCGTCTACGAGCTTTCCTCCGCCGCTCCCCGGAAGTCTTACCTTTGACCCCGTGCACACGTTTCCGCTGCTAATTAGCCGGACAACTCGCAGTGGTAATATCGATTATGCCAACCAGTCGACTGGCTCTCGCAGAATTCCTGCGTTCCCTCCATTGTCTTGCTAGGGTCTTCCTAACGACTTCTGGGTAATTTGTTCCTGGCAGGTTTCCATCGATTACGGTGATTTTTCATGAACAGGTTTTCATTGTATTTTCAAATTTCGAGTTCGTAACGTGGCTTTGAGTGCTACTATGGTATTTTTCGAAATTTTGTGATATCCTGATTTTCTACGATTGTTTGAGGTTAGGTTGGTATGTAGCAGGACACGTGAAATTATTGATGTTCTAGTGTTAGAAAAGATGAGGTTATGTTGGTACATTGTTTTTTGATTAGAAATTAAAGAGAGAATTATTGCTAGTATTTTTCTAGGGGAATTATATGTTGTACATAAGGAAAGAATCTTTGCTAGATAAAACCTGCAATTTTTGCTATTTCAACGGTTGAATATTAAATGCTCTATTGAAAACTGGAAGAAAAGTATGCGTGTAATATTTTTAGAATTCAATAATATTAAAATTAAATTAATATTAAGATGATGAACCTACAGACACACGTCAAATTACAAAAAGGAATTACCGACAAAAAATTCTACTGAAATCCTAACGTGCAAAAGGTACAATGATAGAAAACGATAAAAAAATTACAAATATTCTCTAAAATATCAAAAATATCAAATTACCCAAATCTAAAATGAAAAATTAAAAGAAGAACCATGTAACTTCGACCATTTCGATGAGTAAATATCCTATATTTACATTTCTTTGAATACTAAAATATTCGGGAGATTAAATATTTTTCCAAAAATAGAAAAAAAAGTGAAGAAAAAAGCCTGCAATTTCGATGGTCAAAATCGAGTCTATTACTCCCCTAGCGTGACGTGAATTAGATAATATTACAGTGGCGTGCCGGCTACCGCAGCAGGATTTCTGTGGACCTGGAGTCGCGGTTTTACGGCTCCGAATCCCGAGCCGTGTGTCTGCCATATGACAATAACATCTGTGGCCCACGCCAAGGTACGCGTACCTGCGCCGAGGCGCTACTACGTATACCATCTTGCAAGCCCGAGCGCCGTACGAAAACGAAATCGAAAGGTGTTCCCCTGCGCTGGTACCGCTGGACGCGGCAAAGAAACGCAGCTGGCAAAATATTTGTACGGAAGGGAAACGTCTCGTTTCGCGATTGCCGATTAATTAACGCGGCCGCTGATCTGTTTGCACGGATGATTCGCGTGAAACGGCGAGTCTTGTACTGCGCTGGCCGAAATTGCCGGTTTCTTTCGGTAGGCGGCGCAGCGGTAGTAAATTATGACGGTAAATTGCGTTAGCGAGATACCGCGTCTTGATTGCTGCACTTTTTGTGGAAGTGTTGTTGGTGAAAAACGTACGTGAAATTTTTGGTGAAATTTAATCGATTTGAATGCTCTGAAATTTTACACAAATTACTCGATGCATATGTATATATCTCATACGTACATTTGTATGCTAAAATATAATTAGCGTTCTGTGGATTAATATATACTAAAATTGCATGCTTATTAGTGAGATGCTTTTTTCCCTTTTTATACGTACTTAAATTTCATTACTATATATTATTGCTATATTTATTCTTAATTCCCTGGCTTTTAAATATTAAATATTATATAGTTCGATGTCTACCTTTAATATTTTTTACTTCAAACGTATTCAGCTGCCGTGTATTGTGGTAGAAAAAACTCTTTTATTTCTTGTCCGATCATAACGTGTTCCTCATTGTTTGCTTGTCTCATTACGGATACAGGGATAATTGGACAATGATATGAAGCTTTGCTGGCTTTTTAACGAACGATGCACTGCTGAAAGCGATCGAAATAAATAAATAGCTTATTTTCCACAAATAATTGTAATTAATGCATAATTACTTAAGGGTGCAAATAAAATAATTATTTAATTAAAAAGTTAAAAGAAAGATAACAAAGAATGATTGTTTTCTTAATTTTTCTAACATTTTATCCTACATTTTATCCTGCATTTTATCCTACGCAAAGGCGAAAAATTTAATTGAAATATTATAACGGAGGAACTAACGAAACTAAAACGAATTAAATATCAGCGATTTCACGTTAATGAAAGAATTTATTAAACATATAAAGAGGTTAGGGTTGAATGAAAAATTCAACCATTAAATCTAAATTGTTACTTAATAATTTACTTTTGTGTTTAATAATTCTTTCTCGAAAAAATTTCTAAACCCTTTTTTTCGTTAACTATAGCATTTTTAGTATTTTATATGACAAGTTTACATTCTGCAATATAAGGTAACATACTTCCATTATTACCGACAAGGTAAATTGGGGATATACTTTGTAACAGATGTCGCCTGTGTACAGTCTGTTCGAATGATTACGTCGGTAAGGAAGAAAAGTATATTTGCTCCTACAATTTAAGAAATACGTATAAATTCTTTTAATTTACCGAATGACCCAATTAATTATGATAACACCTAAAATAATAAATTATTTTAATATAATTATTTCACGGCTGCAATTTCAACTACCTTAATGTTGATTAAATATCGAAAAAAGTTTCTGTAGACGTATTATTACATAACAAAGCTTCTGTTAGAACTTTACAATTACTATTATCTACATCAATACTTCGTAAAGGGGTTGAAATCTTAAAAACTACAAAAGTCATTCATGATTAGCGATTATAAGCAAACTGTTGATCATTCTTATTCGTCTTCCAATGATTCGATATTTGTGGGAAAATTACATAGAAATTTAAATAATTCGGCGTCAATTAGAACGATTTTAACGGTTGAAAAAAGAAACGCAGATGCATCGATCATATCGTGGGTTGTGTACAGTTTCAATATTTGTACAGAGATAAAAGAACGAAAAAGTTTTTGCCGATCGAGTGAATTTAAAAGAACGCTGTGGCGATAACGATCGTTTTGCGCAGATTCAACCACTGCGGCAGTTAAATCGACAATCGATGATGGCCAAACAGTACCATCGAAACGACGAAAAGAAGTATCGTCGAATGAAAACAGACGATATCAAACACCAAGATGTCACGTAACCGGATGACACGATAAACGAATCGAGAAGCAATTCCACGATCGCCCGTTACTTCGATGTGCCCACTGACATAACCTCAAAGGTAGCGTGATCAACGAATTCCGAAAGAACTACCGTTGTTTCAACGAAAACACGGGCTCGTCGAGAAGGTTCTCGTCGCGAACGACGCAATGCCACGGAAAAAGTCAACGAAACTTGCGCAGGAGCTGGCAGCAAAGTCAAGAGCCCTCGCAGTTGACACATGTCAAGCGTGCAGTGCAACTCGAAAAAACGTCGGGACGGCCAACAACACACAATTACGAATACGGATGTAAAATCGACACTCACCGTTCAGTCCGGTGCATCGAGTAATCGACGCATTACCCATTATTCTCACGCCGACGGCGATGGCAAGCACGAGATAAAGCACTCGGTGATCGCGGCGGGCTCACGTGAAAAAGCGGATGCATGAGTGCGCGAAAGACCGACACATTTTTCGAAAAATACTATCACATCGTGTACTCGCAGTGTCGCTACGACAGAGACGGACGGCCGCTTCGAAGCGACGAGGTGATTGGCCCGCGAGCCAGTGCGCTTGCGCGACCCGCGGAATTTTGAATTCATCCTTGTTATCTTCGTATTTCCATGGATTCGGATAATTTCTCATTGAAGCTGTCTGCGAAATACCACTGCTATTAAGCTGCACGTATTATATAATAAACAGGTAATACAATTAACATTATTAAATACGAATAATAATATTCTTCTATATAAATTTATAAAAATTACCTAGATTTCTTTTTATAAATCTTTCTATTTATATAGAATGATTTAGAAAAAAATCCCTAACTTTAAATGTTATTAATAATTTGTAGTATACATATAAAAATATACCAGATAATACATACACAACTTGTAGTAATTGTCAGAAGATCTATATTTAAGAATATAATAGCATGTTTAAATTAACAATATTAAATATCTATTTTTCAATGTAGACCCAATAACTTCATCCAATTAGTAATACTCATAGTTTCATTTGAACTTATTCACAAGCTATATCAACCTGATAAAATCTCCAGCTGGAATACCCTGTATATAGTCACTTAATATCAATGTGCATGAATTATGTTTCAGTCAATAATCTAACGATGCCACGAACGAGATATCCTTCCCTATTGTTTGTATATCACGTCTCCATTGATTTAGCTATTTTTATCTCACACGCTACTAGAATTTCATAAAACACTGGCACAATAAACCATCGCACCAAAATTAAACGACTATATTTAAACACGGTCGGTCACTTTCTCGATCGACGCTAATTATAGCCGTCACGGTATTCGATTTAACATTTTTCACACTCGCTGCTACAATTCCATTAACCTATTCTATCCTTTACCGTGAAAACCAGCTACCACCATTTCCGTCCTACAACACGATCCCAGAAGCATCAGAATAGCTCTCATAAACAAATTGGAATTTTCGTGAAAAGCGTGATCAAAAGCACATTACATAATCCCGCGATTAATATTATTTCCCACGATACACATTATGCAAATACACGTTTCCAATTACCCTCTACCCACCTGGACGAGCAGCAAATCGCACCCCGTCGCGCACGATTGCCAGCAGCAGTCGGCCCAATTGCCAAACTCGGCTCCGAAATCCCACAACGGCTCGGCACTTTTCGCACAGGCCACGTGAACCAACACAGAACCACGAGACGAACTCCACGCGACCGTACGCACCCATAGATCGCAACTGCGCCCACAGTTCGCGTGTGCAAGCCTCGCATTTCATCGTTTCGTCGCAAAACAGAATCACGCAATTACAAACTGTTCCAGGCTATGAAGTACCCGGCCGCGTATCAGCTAGGTCAGTTCAGTCGTCAAAGCGAGTCGACGAAAGAAAAGCCAACCAGCACGCTCTGAGCTACCCCTAGGACCCTGTCAGACCGAACAACGGTGAGAGATCATCGATCGGAGGCGAATCCACGGCAGAAAGGTCCGAATCGACGACAAGGAATCATCGCCTTGGTAACCAGCGGCAAAACAACGAGACGTGGACACGATACGTGGAAGAACCGCGGCGAATCTCTATCCTCTATATGGATTTTTCGGTCCAATTCGATTCACGTCTAGGAAGACGTTGATCTCTGTGCTCGACATCGGCTTTTTTCTTCTGTCTGACATGACAGTTCTGGAGGATCTCGACTCGAGGCCTCGGGCATTCAGCAGCTGACGGCAACCAGGCGATCGTACATCCGGAGAAAAGCGCTCAACGCTTGGGCAAAGATGGATACCGGGTTCTCCTGGATCGTCTCTATCGGCTTGATCGCGCTCGTCGTTTCCGAAGGTCAGTTTTCGACTAGGTTTATAGATTTCGAGATCACACCGCGGATCAGACTGTAGATGTTAGACGGGTACAGATGGCTGGGTATATCGGCGGGTTCCTCGATTTTTCACTTTCGTCGCTCGATCTGAAAAATGGTTTACGTTAGTCTTGCGTTACGTTAGTTTTAGGCTGACTAGTGTCACTGTTAGAGCATACTGTGTCTGATGAGAGAAGGTAGAAAATTGCACGAAAGAGATGAAGTCACGATCGTATCTTGGGGCGAATAACCGGGGTCCGAAAATCAATGGGATAGCTTTTGAATGCGAAGAATGTTGGATTTACTACGGTTCTCCTGCTTTTTAGCGGAATTCCGGGAGAAATTAAAAACGACGAGGATGGAAGATCCACACGGCTCAGGGTGAAATTAAATAACCGCAATCTGAAATATGAAGGTCTCCGGAGGAGAGGAGATCGTTAGTGGAATACTTGGAACAAATTGCAAGCAAACAACTCCGAGTGCGAAGAACGAGTTCTCAAAACACAATTACAATTTCCACACGCTAGCTCCAAAGTTCATTAGCTTGAAATATCATTTTACCTCTCGCTTTGACAAATCATCTATCAAACGTGAACTTCAATCGACTCTTATGCATCGTTTAATTATCTTGATTAAAATTTCTTGAAATTAATATCGAAGAAGGGGTTTGATGTGATTGCTACTCGTCTGTAGAATGGTAGCTTAAATCTAAAATGGCGGATTGCAAAATTTGAAATGCTTTGTATCTCGATATCTTGATGATAACGTTCTCTTTTCATTTTCCTTTTGTTTCCTCAGGATGGGCCATCGATTGTTTCAAATGCGTGTCGATCGACGGCGACAATAAGCCCTGCGACGATCCATTCCACAACAACGGAAGTCTCGCCTTCTTAGAGTCGCCCTGCTTAGGAGGTCGCAAAGGGCGCGATGGTCTTTTCCCCGCGACTGCGTGCATCAAAATAGCGGGCATATATGGTAAAACTTTCCTCTTTTTGTAATCACGAGTGGCCCTTAACCCCTTTCAACGCTGTCTGTTCAACGAACACAGTATGACTCCGGGTACAGTGCTGCTTGTTTACGAAGGTTTCGCTGGGTGGAAAGATTAATATATCGCTCGAAATAATCAGCAGATCCCAAATAACTCTTAAACTCACTTACCCTACGAACTACACCATGCCGACAATTATTACATCTCCCTGCTGACAATTTTCAAATCGTTTCAATGAATTTCGAATTCCATTACTCGAATATAAATTCCCAATCAGGCTGTTCGTTAAAAAAATACTCGTGTTAGCTGAAGAAACGGAAACTGACATGCCTCCATGTTTTATACAACTAGTATTAATAGAGAAAAAAAGAAAGTGGAAATTGAAACAGGACTTACATCAAAAATTTGATCTGAAAAGTCAAGTTTCGAGAGAATCCTCAGATACAGGGAAATACGCCACGTGAAGATAAACTGAAACGAAAGTTCTCAACTTAGTAATAAGGAATGAAGTAAAATAAGTTAAAAACTTAGAAAAGATAAAAATAGAAAAGAGTGTGTTGATAATTGACGTGTTTTCGATCAGATGAATCCGGGATCTCTTTGACGGTGAGGAGCTGCGCGCTGGACAGCGGAACCCTGACGACCGACTCGGAAATCATAAGAATGTCTCACTGCGGAGGGTTCTACTTCGACGACAAGTAAGTACGAATGTAGGGAAGCATAACTTGGCTTACTTTTCTTTGTGCACCGCGCTAATTGCTAGAGTTACGCCGCCTGAAATTGACCCTTATTATAATTGCCAGCAGCCACGACGCGATTGAAGATAAGAAGAAAAGAAGAGGCTAGGTGGATACTTCCGTATACGTCAATTTTAATCAATACTTCGCTTCTGGGAGCATGTTCGACGAAACAAATTGTGTTTATATATTGCGTTTATTTTATAGCGTCTTAATGTTATTATTTGGCATTTAGTTTCCTTCCAAGTTCTAGCTCTTTTTATAGAAATCTTGTTAGCTCCTCAAGGTAGTGTCTATGCCATCTTTCTTGCAAATCATTGTGAAATTGTAAACTGAAAGTTATTTTAAAAAAATGTATGAGTTAAGGAGAATATTAGAGTGGCCAAAAAATAATATCGGTATTTTTGGTATAAAATAATAGATTAAGATTTAAGATTTGGATTAAAATAATAGATTTGGTATAAAATGATAGATAATGTATTGTCCATTTTGGTCTATAATAGATAATTCCAATTAGAAACATTGTAAATCAAGAACACTGCTTTAATTAGAAAAATATCTACTGTAAGAATCCGACGTTACTTATTGGCCAAAATGACTTGAGTCATTTTCACAATTTAATTCATTCCAATATAATGTGAAACGCGAGATTCTGATTTTATATTATAATTTTCAGGTACGTTCGAGGTTGCGTACAGTCTTGCAACGATGCGGATGCCTGCAATGGATCCAAGCGACGAGCAGTTTCACTCGTGCTTTTAACTCTATCGATTTTTGTCGGACTAATTTGGCTCGGATGTCCCACGTAAAGCTCGCGTTAATTAAAATCACAGACAATTATTGTACATATATATTAAAAGGGAAACGATCACCTCTCATATAATGGACCACTTCGAATTTAAACCAGTAACTTGACCAATTTAGCTGTGGACCAAAGATGAAAGAAAACGAAGTAAATATCATAAGCGAAGCAACGAAGGCTTTTTGGCTCTCGTTCGTGGATTATCGCATTTAACGAATATATCAAAAGGAACTTAGAATAATCAAACGAATTTATGGTTCAGAACATGTACGCGTTTCTTATATTATATTATGAAGATGAAGTATACAGGATCACTATTTGATACTATTTGATAGTGTGCAGGATAGAAAGAGCAACAACTGCCATTATAATTACAATTATGTATACGTAATCATCAACCTTTTATTAATATTCATGCATAGAACATGATATTTATGATAATAGCTATTGCTTGAGAATATAGTGGAATATATTATTCATGAGATTGTTACAGACTGTGTAGTGTACTCAATAAAAGAGATTTTAAGTTATAAATATGTATATCATTTTGAATTGAACCTCATAAAACTTTACATTTATTGTAACACTGTATACTTTATTTATTGAAGAAAGATCCCTCACATATCCTATATATCCCCTTACAATAAAATTGAAATTAAGGCTACAATAGCCTTGAAAATTGAGAATATATAATTTTGGCTAAATTTAATGCTAAGATCATGTAAATTAATCCTCTAACTACACAAGCATAATAACTCAAACTCTGACAACAGCAAACTAAAGAAGATGATACTTGAAGAAGACTCCTCATTTTCATCTCACAATTCAAACAAAGTCAAGTTCATGGTAAATTCAAAATTATAAAGACTGACTGATCACACTCAAAAAATGTCATAATTACCCCTCCTCTCTAACCCTTCAAAAAACAAAAGTCTCTAAATCTATCCGAAGTCAAATCAACGTAATTATTCGTCGAAAGTAGATAGAGCATGAAATTCGTTCAATGCGAGTCGTGGCGGAGAAATCAGCGGTTCTAATAGAAGCTATGTAAACAAGGACAAAGTAACAATCTCAAAGATGAAAAATCGTATGTCGAACGCGTCGCAACAGTTCGTCGAATTCTTTTCGCGAGTCGCCTGTTGGTTATGGGATACCCTCGAAAAGTTATTGGACATCATTTTCGATTTCCTGGCGAGGATAATCGAGCTGATACTAGCGGTGATGAACCTGATTTTCCAGGTGATCTGTTTCCTAAGGGACCTGTGCATCGAGGCCATGCAAACATTCGCAAATGTCTTTCGAGGGATCGTCAACGTTGTTAGGAATATCAGCTGCGAGGAGATAGAGGACTTCGCCTCCGCCTGCATCGTTGTTCTGCTTTGGGTCGTGGCATTCAAGATTATTAAAAGCTTGTTCCAAGTAGGAATTTTGCATTCCTTTGATAATCATTCATTCATTAAGTTAGTTTCGACGAGGTTCTGAAAGAGTACAGGTGGGATTAGAGACATCTAGTGCTTCAGGATTATAGATTATTTTTATGAATATTAATTGCTAGTATTTTTTCCTAAATCTTTTTAAAATTAAATTCCATGATATATACATATTGTTGTTATAATCAGTTTCACTCAGTATATTTATCGATGCTGAAAATTCATTGTTGATGTTGCAGTGAAGGTTGGAATGCGAGGTTAATTTGAATGAAAAAGGTATAAATAATTTATTGAATATAATTGACTCTGCAACTTTCATTATAAAAATGAAACAATGAAAGAATAATGACAATCAGTACCTGATAAGAAGTTTTCTTTGATAACCTTAAAAAGTGATCCAAATTTAATACACAGATTTCTGTATCGATAGGAATTAATCCTGGATTCTCATTAAATATTCAAATCCGTTTTAATAAACTCCTTGTCGTTAAACAATTTAGACTGATTATACTTCTTTATTTCTACTACGAGCTTAAATATCTATTCAAAATAAAGAGAAGAGTATCCATTTAATTTAGAAATTGCCAATAGTGCGCAAAAATTGAATAAAAAAAAATTTTTATTGAAAATTAAAATTTTCATTTTTTAAATAGATCGAATACAATAGTAAAATGGTCTATTATAATTGTCTAATCAATGTTTTAAAATCGTGATGATACATTCGGTTGTATACAAAATACGCGATGTCAACCACTTTAACGCGAACAGGTCAAGTAACCTGCTTTGATTTTTAGCAGCAAGAAACTCGACGAAATAACGAGGCTTTTGAACGTTAAGCATGTTTGATGAAATACCGAGAATCGTTTGTTCTGGTGTATAACGGAAGACTGTGGCACAAAAACCAGGTAATCATAACATTCATGAATTTTAATCAATATTTCAGTTATTACGGTTTTGTATAGGATTGGAAGTATATTATACAATCTAAATTTCTAAAATCTAAATGTTATCTGGTTTTTGACCTAACAGTTTTACCTATACAATCTTTAAAATAATTAAAAAAAACTCCCTATATTGTTAATTCTAGTATTTTTATTTTTTTAATAATCTCTCTCTTAATAATCTATGATAAAGAATGAAAATAAGGAACAAAAATTCAAAAATTCAAATTATTCAAATAGGCAGGTTTCTAATTATGTGAGCGACACATTCTTATAATTATAATTAATATTCACATACCTGACGGCGATGCGTTATTTTCTGTACATTTTAAAAATCTATTTAACGTTCGTGTTCGCACTTCCACCATATTTTAACTATTCTCTTTCACGTTAATTAATCACTGCATATAAGTTCGAACATGTACCAATAAAACGTTGACAGATACACATAGACACACACTAATATTTAAATCAACTAATAATCTCGATAAATTAAAAGTACGAGGAACTGTGCGTTCGATACAACGGTATCTTTTACACTAACAAACCTATTGTTGATTTACACGATAGTTCCAATGTCATACGTATCTCCCAGAATTCTCGAATAGCTGCGTTCCTTAACCCACGAAATACAAGTTCAAATATAAACAACAATAACAAGGTAGAGAGACTCGGGCCAACAGTTTGTCCGCCACAGAGAAGAGCAGGCAAAAGATTGAATCGACGATATGGAAAACGACCTCGAGCCGACTCCAAAGTGGAATACGATGAATAGAATAAAAGAAAACAAAAGGTAAAGGTTTAGAGAAAAAAAAGAAACCTTAAATATATTGATTTTAACATGAAGAATACGTATTAATAACTATCGTCTTGAAACCATTAATTTTTATTAAGTTTGAATTAGTAACAAACATAAAAATTAATTTTATGTCAATAGATGAAATTTCTAATAACTCTTTTGTCTCGCAGATTTAAAAAGGAGATGATTACACATCTAACACGTGCAATGTATAAAATCTGTACCAAGAAAATTGTAAAAAATAAAATATATTTCCTTATAAATATTATTTCTTATATTTATCATTGTATCATACATTCTTCGTTCATTTGTAAAAATTGGTACAGAATTCTGACAAACAGGATCAGAATTGTAGGATTTTCTATTTACAAAAATGTTCTGTATAAAGTAACAATGTGTAAATTCGTATATCAAATACAAAATTACACTTTGTAATTTGCATTCTATTATGTACATAATTAAATATTAATCTTTAACAGATATCAATTTGTAAAAGAGAAACATACGAAAATTTTCCCCTGTAAAATATATTCTATATCTGATTCCTTTCTGTTGAATATATTCGTTATAGTTTACCTCTTTTACACATCGATAGGTAAAGTCTTATGAGTCCATCGTTCGTTCGATAATCGTACAAGAGCAATTTGCTTATAAATAATTTTATCGAAACTCGCTTTTGTAACAAGATTAGATAATACTTTGCTTACGTCAATTTATCCTAATTCGGTTTAACGATATTTTTAGAGGCACTAATATCATTGTCTCAGTCATTTACAACGGTAATAACCAATTTATGTTCAGGCCAAGAAAATGTCTTTGGCAGCTGAATCTGTAATATACCATTAAAACAATAAATAAATGTTTAGTAAATATAAAAATATATTGTTAAGTTACTTCGTTTTTATTGATTACCTGATTTGGCGAATTTAAAACTTGAAACTCTTGAGCCATTTTTTCAGATAAATCTTCTGGAAGTAAAACTTGTAACCATGGTCCTTGAACTACATATGGTTTTTCCCTAGAAACTAGAGTACCAGTAACTGAAGGAGCAACTATTGTAATTGCTGTATGAGACAATATTGATTTAAATGTGAAATGCCTTCCATGCATAACGCGACCCCTGTAAAGTTATATTTATACTTAAAATTCGTCTAATAATACATAAAAGTAATCAAATAATTTCATACAGATATTTACTTTATTGCTAATGGTAATAGAGATCCAGCTTCAAGATTGAAAGTCAAATGAAGACCTGGTAAAACCTTAATAAAACTTTCATTTGGTAAATTTGTATCTTGTTCACAAGGAGATAATCTTTCTGATTTTATAATTGGTTTTATGTCTTCATCTTCTTCATCTGATTCATTTCTTGTCTCCCTATATTTTTCTGTACTTTTGTCATTATTTACTTGGACCCACCTATAATTTACGTGTTAATATAATACATTATATTACATTATAGAACATACTACTACACATCATATACTTAGAATGCAAGATACTTGCCAACACTTTGCAGATACACCACTTAAATTAGAACCTTCCTTTTCTATACCAGTTTGTATTTTCTCTGCTATAGAAGGATCATCTTCCATAACAGAATACATTCTTCTCATATCTGTTACCAACCATGGCCCACAACCACGACTAGACTTTAATAAATTTACAAGACCTAGGCCATTCCAATGCTGTGCAGCTTGTAGTTCTTCAGATGTAACTCCTACAATTTGAACAAATGAAACCTGTAACATTGTACATGATGTATTAAAAATATTTTATCCTGAATTTATGTATTATAATTTTGATTTTAATTAAATTAATGACTTTAGCTAAAATTAATATTAAATAACAAACTTACATCACCATGTGGTGTAGATATGGAGGTTGGTAATTGTGGATCCTTTCCCATTAAAATTTGTGTAATACGACCATTGCCATTATCTAAAGGTGCATGCCATGAGACATGGTCTCCAGGCAACAACATGTTACCAGAATTGAAAACATATTTTGCTAACTGCTGCATAACATTTGCTGGCCAAGTAGGAGGAGTCATCTCATTTCTTTCCCTGACTAATCTGAAGGTTAATTCAAATCCAAAACCACTTGGACGACCTGGACCACTTTTTGGATGTATACGTCCATCTCCATGTAGATCAGACAGACCCAAACTTTAATCAAAAAGTATTTTTTATCATATATAGTTCCAAGGAAAACTAGTTAAGGTAAAATTAAAACTGAGGAATGATGATAGGACATTCAAAAACCATTGGTAGAACTAAAATAACTCTAGACTTAATCCAGAAAAAATAGACTAGATTCAGTCAATGGTGGAATATATTTAGATAAGACAGACGGAAAAGGGGGAGATCCGCGGATCTATTTCCGACGCGTTGCATTTCGAACGACTTTATCTTCCTGTACCCTATACTTTCTATATATAGAAAAAGAGGGAACTATCGGAACAGCTGCTCCAGACTGAAGAAGGATGGGTCACCCATTGAATATGAGAAAAAAAGAATGAACACCCTTTCGCGGTAGGCCATTCGTCATTCGGCGCCTAGTTTTTAATGAGGAATTCCTGAAATGAATATTCATTTATCTTTCGACAAAGTGAGGTATTACATCTGTGTGTACAAGTCGTATTCGAACAATTTTAATTCGATAAAAAATTTGTATATATTTTATTGATTAAATAATATAAAAATATGACAAAAATTATTTTTAATTTCCATAGGCTCATATACAGTACTAAATCTATCTTTTAAACCTAACATTTTTTAGATGTTCGTACATAGCATTAACGTATTAGCACGATAAATGAAATTCCCTAATGACAGAAATGGGTGCCGCATACACGTGTCATCGAGGGTGTGTCGGAAAAATAACATGCGCCCACATCAAACAGAGGCACACTTCTACTACTCAACAGGGTGACACTGACGAATACCCGACTTCCCGTTTTTTTTTAACACTCCGATTCTTCCTTCTTTACCACACTACAAAAAAAAATGTGACCTGTCTGTTTTGAAAGAACGATGCGCACCAGTGTGACACTTCAAGGATCGCGTGCGCAGCGGATCAAATCAACATATAATTACCAACGTTTTGTACTATAAACGTATTCAAAGTACAAACAATAAATAGAAAAAGATTTTATCGAAAAATTATAATATTGACAAATTATTTGTAATATTTTTAAATGTAATAATACTTTACTATTTGTTGTTTGTAAAATAAAAATTTTTCGAAACAATGAAACTTACCTAATGTAATGCCAGTGTGGTGGTATGCCTAATTCCGGACAGCCAGAATTTTCGTACATGCTTATGTAGTCGAGAGGATCCGGACCCCCCAACCTAGGCAAAGGTGCACAGAAAATCCCAGTTATTTGGTTTTACATCCGGTTAAATGTATGTACGACTAAGGGTGGCTAAATATAAGTCGTCTTCCCTTCTTGTACAAGAGTTCCATACCCAAACTCAATAGAAACCACCTTTCTGATAAAGAACTTCGCAGTTTTGTATCAATCGAAATGTACGAAAATTGGTGATCAAAATTGGATATAATATTAAAATATTAGTTAATTAAAAATAATTTTATGTTGCAGGATATTACATTTGTTACAAATTTAATTATATATTTAATTCTGCATCATGAATCATGGATCATAAAAAATAATTTTTTTTTAGTAAATTATATTTCACTCGCTTGTTTTAAATATTAAATATTCATGTATTTATCTATATTACACCTGCATATCGAATTACGTATAATTATACGTATTTAATATATGTAAAATCAATTGATCATCATCGAAAATAACACAATTGGTTTTATCAACTTCTATCTATTCAAAATTTGATTTCCTCCTTTGATTCTACCTTGACAATCAATTTTCAATTTTTTAATTTTTTATTAATACTAAAACTGAAAGACTAACTAACAAACAAAACAAAAATAAATCAATAATTATTAATAAATTCACAAAATTTCCCAATGTATTTTTAGTACATTATAATATACAAAACAAATTATAATGCGTAATACCTAACAATGCAACACATTTCTTGTCTTAAACTGACATAAACATCAAGAGAGAAATTTAAACCTCACACATTTTTGGACTAAGAAATCAGTTTTCGTTGTTATATTAAATTATAGAATTCTTACCAGTACTTTACAACCGCAGTGACAGTGAGTGGATTGCTTTGGTCCGGATAGATCTCTTTACAAAGATTGTGTAGAGCGTCAAGGCCTAGGGCCCGTGCCGTCGGTGCCTGGATCGGATGTCCCGGTGGAAAACTTCGACAAAATTCTTCCCTTTCACGCATATTTCCGTACATATACGCAAATTTCCAGTCACAAAGTGTACTGCTTAGAAAATATTACAAATATGAAACACACAATCACTTTGTTTACTGTCGTGCAACCACCGTGTGCACCTTCCACTGAGTACGGAACATACGTCTCCGATTCTTGACAAAACTAAATTCTTTCAGAGCGGACGACCAAATGATTCCAAAATCACTGCGCGTCTTTAAAAGTCACTTTAGGCACTAAAAGAAAGTGCTTTGTTATTGGCGAGTGCGTTCTGAAGTGCATTTCTATTGGTCCATTCCGATCGAAACATGGTAGTTTACATCCAATAGGACAATTCTCATATACAACTGCATTTGCTGTCTAATCAACACGACAATTGAAAATGCACTTTATCGGTGCGTCCTGGTAAACTTTAAACAACAAAAGTGCATTTAAACATGTCAAACACAGCAAAATGAGGTTACAACACTCGGTTCTGTTTCTGGTTTGTCTTTTGTGGAACTTATTAATATGTTCGACAATTGCATTAATAAATAATACAACAGACTTTCAACAAGAATACAGGCCTGAAGGTCCGTTAGTAATGTGTAAATTTTTGTGAGTATTTATGTTTACTCTGTGACAATTGTTTATCTTTAATAACAAATTGACTCTTGCCTTCTTTTTGTTTTATTTCAAAAAATTAATTATTTCTATAGTGTAAACATACTTTTATAGGCCGAAAGAATTTATAGAATGTGAAGAACCAATTGATCACAAGGGTAATAAAACTGCCAAAGAAGAAACTGGATTTGGTTGTGTAAAGGTAACATTATATTCATAAATATAAATATTGAACGTACATTGGTGGTTTCTTAAATATTTTATTTTTAGTTTGGAGGTTCTAAATATGAAGACGTTGAGAAAACTAAAGTATCATGTACTGTGTTACCTTTTATTGAATGTTATGGACCTAGAACATTTACTCGTGAAGGAATTCCTTGTATAAAATACAATGACCATTATTTTGCTACTACTCTTCTGTATAGTATTCTATTAGGTTTCTTGGGTATGGATCGTTTTTGTTTAGGACAAACTGGTACTGCTGTTGGCAAATTATTAACATTAGGAGGAGTAGGAGTATGGTGGATTTTTGATGTAATTCTATTAGTCACAAGTTCTTTACAACCTGAAGATGGCAGTAACTGGAATCCTTATGTATAGCATGACAGACACAAAAAACTAATTTAAAAGATGTAAAATAAGATCAAGTGTTTTATATGCTACTCTTTTAAAATCAATATTTAATAATATGGAATTTACAAGATTACCAAAATACTTTTTGTAAAATAAATTTATATTTACTTGTATATATTTTAACGTGTAAATAAATATTCCTGTTAAAGAATGTGTTTTTAAATAGCAATAGTTCCTATTTTCTCTTTTTATTAAAAACATCTTTTTGGAAAGAATAAGTGATTTGACAGTTATTTGAAAAGAACACAAGACTACAAATGTACAAGTATAAATATTTTTCAACATTTATCTATTATAATTCATAATCATCTGGATGATATAATTCACTGAGTAATCTGTAAATATATGATGGTGCATTTCCACCCCTAAAATAATAACGTTTTATTACATAATTATTTTAAGTTATAAAATAATGTAAGAAACTTTAATCTTTAATATTATTAGCCTTACGTGTTTGAAATAAATAATGTAACTAATTCTGGTGGCACATAATCAAAAACTGGATTGTATGCTTGAATTCTTGCCAATAATGATGCATTTGCACCATCAATTACACCTTGCAAAGGTGAAACATGTTTGTTAAAACCATGTTGTTCATGAGTGTAAAGATACAGTGGAGAAAGCTTATAAAGTGGCAATAAGACCATTACTGGGACAGAATAATGTTTTGCAGCTTGAGCAACTGTATGTGAACCTGAAATTGCTCTTAGCCCTCCATTTGCCATAACAGTATGTGTTCCAATTATTACTTTATTCACACGTGACATCATTGCAAAAATTGCTACATCTGATATTAATGTAGTTTTAATCTTTGCCTTTGCAAGATTTACAGCCATTTCATGACCCTATGAACGATAAAAATACATTTAATTAAATCTATAAAATTTAAACATATATTTGTTTACACAGTTGTTAGATAATAATTATGTGGATATATACACTTAATGATGGTCCTCCTTCAGCTACTATAACTTCAAAAGCTCTTGTTGCAGCAGCTCTTTTAAAAAACTCTTCTACTAATTTTGATTTACCAATTGTCATAATAATTTCATTAGAATGAATGTGTTCAGAAGCTTGCTGTGTAATATTTTCTGCACTGAAAAAACAAATAATACAAATATTATAATATGGTACAACATAAAATATTGTATTTTCATTATTCATTACAACTAACCAGGTTTCTAATTCAGCTTCAAATTCATTAATATGCTCTATAATAGCTGATTTTAAAGATGGTATAGGAATACTAAAGTCAACCTGTTGATCACCTTCAGCAGTGAGAATTTTGTGTAAAGATTCTTGTGTATCTGTTTCATCAGTTGTATTTTTTAATTCAGAAGTATATTCTTCTCTAATTATTTGTAATATTCTACGAACCATATTTCCAATAGAAAATTCGAGAGGATTAGCTTCTACTAAGCATTTTCCATTCCTTGTTATAATACTTATTAAATTCCTTTTAAAACAAAATAAATATAAGTGATTTAATCTTCATAAGTTCTTATCCTTTATAAAATCGTGTACACCTAAGATGGAAATGAAATAATAAACTATTTATTTATTAGCAATTGATGTAATTTTTTAATAATATAAGTCACAGTAAATATAATTTTATAATTTTCAATAAATTTTTCAATAATTTTTTCATTTAATGTTTCTTAGGTTTACACAAAATTACGTCAAGTAAAGGAAAATGCAATTCCTACGCAGCAGTAGTCCATTCGGTATTATTTATAATTTCTTTCAGTCCCAAAATAGTATCCACAACAATATTGTGTGTACCTTTGATATCGCTAAAATACAAAATATTATAAAAATTTGTTTTACATGAGGTTAGAACACTTCATCCTCACCCATAATGAATGTCATTTATTAATTTTAACATTCTTTCGTTAATATCTTCGTCTTTCGTGCTAACCATTTTGATCGGAAATTATTAGACACTTTTTTGATCTTAAATATTATTTCTTCTTACAAGAAAAGTATAACAGATCGAAACATTTCTGTTATCAATATTATCAGAATTATACAAGACCAAAATACCAGCTGCTAAGAAAGTAAAACAATGATTGGTTCTGCTTTCCTCTCCTTGTCACATCGCTCTGTTGCGTTACACGTGCATTTTAACCGCGTGACATGTGCACGATACGTTCGATTCTCGATCTTCGTTTAATTTTATTATAAGTACTGTGAAAAATACTTAATAATTCATTTATATTACTTTATTTTTTGAACATTACAATATGGCTCGCATCGGAGATGTTGTAAGTATGATAAACTTACTGATCTCATAAATTTTTTTCATATGAAAATGATCCTTAACCTACTATGTATATTTTTTCGCATAAAAATTACTGCAAATTTGATTAAAATTGTAACAATTAAGAACTTTAGTTTGTATATGAAATACGTTAGATAATGAATACCTTATATTACTACTGCAAAAGGTTCTTAACTTTAACGTGTAAAATTATTTTTTAATATATTTTCGATATTTTTTTTTTATATTTCTAGTTTTTAATTTCATGTTAATATATTTATTAATTTAGAACAATTATTTTAATTTTAAGACTGCGGATCAATTGATAGCCGGGACCAGTGTGTTGTCTAGACCTGCAGAAGAATTTGATAATGATGTAAGTTACAAATAAAATACAAGAAATGAATGAATTTTTATAAAAATAATTATCAATAACTTTTACTTTCTAGCCTTCTGTAGAAGCCATGTGGGCAATGAAAGCTATGGACCATGCAGAAGTTTATTTTAATGTAAAAGAAATTTTAATATGATTAACTTAATTCTACATAAAAGAAAGCAAAGCCATAAAGTTTATTTTTTAATTTTAAATTTCTATTCTAGATTTTATGTTCAGTTGATCCTAAGTTTTTGAAACTTACACCTCATGATGAACAAATATATAAAACCTTTCGTGATGTTTTTCCCGACTTCAAAGTAGATAAAATAAATGAAGAAGAATTAAAATCACCTGAGGGAAAGATGAAATGGAGACCATTCTGTGAACAGTTTAAGGGACTTGTTGAAGACTATAGTTTTGGCACACTATTAAGAGCAGACTGCGAAGGAGATTATTCAGAAGCAAATAGTATACTTACAACTAGAATACAATTTTACGCCATTGAACTTGCCAGAAATAGAGAAGGATTTAATGATGGTATTAGGCAACAGTACAAACCAAAGCAGACTACAGAGAAATCATAAATTATGATAATTATAATATTCTATTATTATGTGTTAATTACTTGAATAGCGTGTAATTTTTCATCTACAATTTTTTACAATTTAAATGTATAAAATCTTATAAAATGTTATTTATAATAAGCAGTGTCACGAAATAAATGAGTTTAAAGAAAATATTATGATCAGTAAAAAACTTTTATTTCAAATTTGGTATTTGTAAACTAATCAGAGGATTTGATGCACGTGCTCGATATTTTGCTTGTGTAGCGGTAGGCTTCGATTTTGCAGATTCTATGTTAAATTTCCTTCTTTTTTTAATGCCAACAAGCCTTTTCAAAGTTGGTGGGACTATATAGTCAGGTACATCCTTCAAATGTGGTTGTAACTTTACAGTATGTAATGCTTTATCCTGTCTCAAGGATTGCAAATCTCTTGGATTATCTTGAAAATAACTTTTTAATTTTTCACAATTAAGTATTTCTTGCTTTATTTCTTTTAAACGAGCTTCTCGCACAGCTATTCTCGTTACGGCTTTCCACGCATCTTTTGCACGATATCTATAAACAAACAATACTAAAGACAAAAGTACATTTAATTTAATGTAATAAATCTTTATTGAACATACCGAAAACCTTCGACTTCTTCTAGCTTGAACAGATATGTTTTAAATAAAGTATCACGATTATAACAATCTTTTAATTCGTTCTCAACCTCTTCAAGAAGTGGTCTTTCTCTTACTGAAATAAAACTCAATGCCGCTCCTTCATTTTTTCCTCGAGCTGTACGTCCGGCTCTATGAATATAAGAATTTACATCTGGAGGAAAATCAAAATTAATTACATTGGACACAAACTGAAAATCAATACCCCGTGCTACACCAGATTCTTTATCTTTTCTACGTTTCCCTTTTTTAACTTTAATTACATGAGGCTGTAAGAAACAGATTTTAAGAATTAACATTAATTTAACATATAATATTTATGATAAAAGTATGGAATATTTACCTCATCTAAAGATTTTTCATCTGATGCTATTATAATATCATATGTTCCAGAATTAAATTGAGTAACTGCTCTACATCTTGAAAATGCTGGTAATTCAGAATTTAATACACAAGTTGGTATACCAAACTGTTCCAAAAACAACTTTAACTTGTAACACCTATCTACTGTATTTACAAATATAATAGTTTTTCCTCTAAACAATACAATAAATAACATTTGTAATTAATGAATTATAATTCTTTTTAAACCACATTATATTTTATATATTTACCTAACTAAATGTAACTTCAATAAAGCATATAAAATAGCAGCTTTATCATTTTCTTCTGCTGCAAGACTATAGTGTGATAATTGTGACAATGGAGCTAATGGGGGTTCTTCTAATTTTAAAATTGCTGGATTATGAAGTACCAACTTTTTAAGTGTTAGTACATCTTCTGATAATGTTGCAGAAGCTAAAGCTGCTTGGTATAATATTGGTAAATAATTTAATACATTTTTTATTTCATTTTCATATCCAAATGAAAATACCTGAAATATATAAAAATATTGTTATGTACAAAAAAAAGTAAATAAATAAGAAGTACTTACTAGATCAGCTTCATCAATTACTAGTGTTTCAAGAGAATGTTTCAATTTCATATTATTTGCTTTTAAATGCCGTAATAATCTACTTGGAGTACCAATAACAATATCAGGTTTTTCAGCTAATAATGGTTTCTGTGCAATAAGATCTACTTGTGGACTGACATCAATAATTCTTATTTCTCTGCTGCATTTTATTGTTAAACTGATTAAAACATCATGTATTTGTTTGCATAGTTCTTTGCTTGGAGTTATAATAAGACCTTTAATTTCTTGCTTGTTTTGCATTCTTTTCTTCAATAAAATTTTTTGTATAAGTGGTATAGCAAATGCAGCTGTTTTCCCAGATCCTGTGCGAGCTCTAATTAAAATATCTTTCCCATCAAGCATTAATGGTATTGCTTTTTCTTGTATTAATGTTGGTTCTACCCAACCTAATTTTGCAATAGCCTAGAATATTTTATTTTACAGATAAATGTAAGTCGAATAAAGACTGAATATTACATAATAATTATAAATTACAAAATGACACGTTAATTTTTAATAAGCTAAATTACTTTTATTTTTGAAACATAACCTATTACAAACTAATATTTAATTCATTACCTTTAAAATTCTGTCGTCCAGTTCTAACTCATGAAAATTTTTTAGTTTTGTTTCATTTTCTTCGTCTACTTCCATTTCGTTTGAGGTCATATTGGGTACAAATATGTGATTAAAATTAAAAAACACGTGTCAACTTGTCACTATACCAAGTTGTTTACTTATATCGATTCCCATCCTCGACCAACGCCATGCGTTTTCTATCTACATTCCAGATAATTTTTGTTTTAACTTTCATCTACTTTAGTTCACATATATGTGCATAGGTGTAAATAAAATAAAATAAAATATTAACAAGATTTATTATAATCTTATTACGCTTCAATTCTGAGAAATATAAAATATTATTAATAATCTTCTTTTACTAATGTTATTAAAGGATATTTTATGTCAGAAATAGTTGTAGCATATGATAATTTCTGTACACTCAATTTCTTAATATTAAGTATAATTCTATATTATCGTAAACATAGTTAAATAAAATAGAATTTCAATATATGTTTATTTAGTATAGCATATGATATTAGACATACCATAAGAAAAAATATGGAAGACCTTTTTCAAAATTCTTTTTAAGTATAATTACTATCAAAAAAAAAAAGTTTATGGGAGGTATAGAAGAGATTTAACAAGAGAGACCATTTCTAGAATATATTGCTATATACACACTTTAATAACCAAAAACAAACATTACAGTAATAATATTGTTATTAATATAATATTATGTAATAATAGAATCGTTTATCAATTGTAGTGTAAACACTAAAAATCTTGCTTCTTCTTTTATTGGAAAGAACAATGCATTCGCTTTGTCTCTTTATTAATTAATATTAATTCATGATCGTCGCGAAATAGCCGCGCTTGCGACTCGGCGTCGATCGCGACTGAAGAAATTACATATCTCGCACGGAACACTTTCGCGCGTGTGGGAAACTAAATTATCGCGGAAGCGATCGATAGTTCGTCGCTGTTGATCCCGAGCATCGATTCTCGATGCGATCGAGGCCACAAGGGTTATGGGGTCGGGAGGGGGCTAGGTATCGCGAGCGCGGCGAATCGCGACCCTGTCTCGTTACCTTAGAATAATAAATATTATAGTGCAATATCTAAAAAATCTGTCTTTTTTATGCAACTTACACATTCAAATACAGTGTACTCGAAAAATTTACAATCGTTATTGCTCTTACAAACATTAAATCTCTATTCGAGTGGTGGTAAATCCGCGATCCCTCTCTCTGACCGCTAAAAAAGAATGTTTGATTCAAGATCGTGTGAGTGCGTGTGTGAGAATCAAAAAAGAGGTGCAGCTGCTGCTGTAGTGATACGAAAACTGTTGTTTTTCTTCCTTTTCTTCTTTTCTTGTTATGTATATGTATATGCATGTTCGTGCGTACATGAGTACTGCTCATCATGTGTATGTGTGTGTGTGTGTGTGTGTGTGGGGTGTGTATGCTCGTGCTTTGCGTACGCGTGATCATTGATTCGATATCTCGATCGTGCGTATACGATCCGGAATTATATATAGAGTTCTCTTTTACTTACATTTTTCCCGGTCGTTCTCGATTTCTCGCCAATATTTCGGCACTTTTTGGTCGTGGTTAACTGTGCGGGCTATATATCCCTGTATACGATACATAATATACATATTATATGTATATGTTATAATACGTGTATTATATATTTCGTAAGTATATCTGTCAGAACGAGTAATTCATCGCTCGGCAGTCCTAGTTGACACTCGAGTTTTAACACTGATGATAAATTACAGTTGCGTGCGCACGTTTTATATATATGTACAATCGCTTACATGACCGGACATGCGAAGGTAAAACAGTAACCCAAAGCACAATGAGTCACGTGACGATTTTACGCGGGAAATCGTCGTGTATCGACCGCTCAAGCGCTGTCAGTGTAATGAAAATAGTAATCAAAATTTGCGTACGTATACAATGTTCGTGTCTTAATCATGGATTCTATATCTCCCGCAGGGAAATCGTATAAACCATTGTTCGCCGAAGCAAAACGAAAAATCTTATTACACGTGTCTCTGTTTATAGGTTATTTTGTCACGCTGTTAAAGCACAAACAAATCGATTGGCAAATTTTTCGATTACTGTGTCAACAGAAAACATTCTCCATAGTGGTGGAGAGGGAATTTTTGAGCAACTGAAGCTTATTGAAAAGAAGAAATACGAAAGAATAGAACGAAAATCATCGTGAAAAATTAACATCCTTTTGTAACTATACATTTCTTTAATGTACGGTCTGCTTCTGTTACGTTGTACAAGGTAATAGTTCTTCTTTTAATACGATTAACCCTTTCGTTACTAGGGACGACTATAGTTCGCCATGAAGCGATTATCGTGCTCTATAGACGACTATAATGGTCCGGTATACTCTGTTCACATCTTTTGTGCAAGGCGTAATAAAATAAGAGAATTATTGTACCAATGTCTTGTCTATCGATATGTATAAACATCGTTATTACTAAAAGAAATTATTGTTAAAATATAATTATCCTGTGGATGTAAAGGTAAGATGTTAAAAATATTCTCTTGTAAATAAAATTATTTTGTGTATGCTTATATATTTAATAAAATAATTGAATACGTATAAACGCAGGAAAGCATTGTCAATGGTGTGAAGTTTGTAGCGAAAGGGTTAAGATAACTCATGGAAGTCGCACGATGAATGTTCGTTCTTCTACGTGTAGCAACTAATCAACAACATATAATTTACGTAAAACGCATCGTATTTACGTAAAATCATGACACTAATACGTAACAACACAGATTGCTATGAGAGAGCATTGCTTCTGAGTTTAGTTCGCAAGGTGGAAGAATACAATCGTATCAATCAAATAAGACTGATCAATGATTTTAATGTACGATATTTTAAAAAGCTTGCATTCTGAATTCCGTTTGTCTGGATTAACTTCCACCGATTGCATGTCTTACGGTTATCACAATACAATTTTACGACTTCTACAGAATAACTTTCGATTTTTGAGAGGTTCGACGATGAATGGACATTGAAATGGTGATTGGCACTGTATGCTGAGAGAAAGCTGTAGATACTGTACAAACGATTTGTCAAATATAAACCTAGTTTTTAAAATAAAATCTAAGTTGGATAAATAATATGAAATGATCGCGAAATATGATTGTTAACGCCAAAATATTCGAAGGAAGACGTGATTGTTTTGAAGATGTAATTAATATCACGAGCTTTTTATTTTTCGAGATTTTATAATCCGTATTATTTCTTTTGCTTCCACTAGACTTGCTTTGTAAAAAAAAAATCAAGCTTCAAAGCCATAATAACGATACTACATTACTATCTTTGGAGTACCATTCTATAAGATATTAAATTCTATATATTTTTTTTTTCTTTTTTTAATTCTATTACGGAAATTCTAAACGCCAATTTGAGCTTTTATTTTATTACCTCACTTTTGTACACTTTATTAACTTTCTATTGTAATGTATTGTCTCTCCTTATAAAATTATAATTTTTCAATTCCTCAAGAGTTAATTATTAGTTACTATGTTATCAATAGCTACTTGAAATAAGATTATACTAAAATCTGGAAAAATGTATCTGCCTTAATTGTTTCATACTTCGAAGCAACCAGTTTCTTCTGAAATATTTTGCCTCTCTTTTTTTCTAAATCATAAATTTATATCGTTCTTCAAAAGCATAAAGAACTCATAAGTACATTATAATTTTCTTTCAGCACACGTGATCTATACATGTATCGCAATAACGCTAAGAATCAAGACAAGAAAACGCAGGGATGAGATGAAGAAATACGCGACCATAATTGCGTAAAAGAATCGGATATTTGTCTTGACCATCCCACGAGAAAAAAGAAAAAAAAAAAAAAATCGATGATGTCCTTTCGAAAGAGTCTAGCCTCTCGTTACTCCTGTTTTGAGGACTCGGATTTCACGCAGGCTCGTCAAACTAATAGTCGATAAGCGAAATGGGGCAACTAACGATTTCGATCGCGGAACAGCTGGATAACGGGGCGATACAGTAGCGGTATTAATGCCGGTTACAGTTGGTAGCATTGGTAAATAGAGTAGCAGTAACTGACGATACGAATATTTCTTCTAGATCTAGGATGTAGCTTGCTTTTCAGGGAAAGGAGGAAATATCCCAGACGAAAATCAGGTGACTTCGGGAGGACTATCGATGACTATGTTCGACTTACAACTCGAAGAGAATTGGTCGACCCGAAATCACCATGGAAAAGGTGAGCACATCATGACTCGGGGGG